ATTTAATTTTTTGTTTATTCTTTGGTGTATTCCTTTTCTTTTTGTCATATATTTTCATTCCTAATTCATTAACGGATGGCTTAGGAAGGCTGAATTGGCTGTGTTTTGTAGACTGCCTTTTCCGGGCTTTAAAATATTGTTCTTTGCTGATTTGGTTTTGTTCCTCGGAACAATGAGTTGATTCTACTCTGCCTGTACTGGATAGTCAGCTTTACAATTTATTTTTTGCAAGGTTGAAAGGATCAAGGATACTATTAAATAATTGTTTTGGCCTGTAACCCATAGATGTTTGGAGGCTAGGGAAGCAAAAAGTGTGTTAATTTTGTACGTTTTGAGGTTTGGAGGAGAGGAAGGAGGCAGAGAGCTGATCACATCCGAAGAGTTTTCTTCTTTGTCATGTCGCTTTAAATGAATATTCTTAGATTCCTTGTTATTGAGAGTCAACAGATAGATAAGATAAACTGTTCAGAGATTCTAGGGAAAGATCCTGCATGGATGCCTTGAGAATTAGAAAAGACAGTACTTGTTCTGAAAACAGCCTCATTCATATTCGCTGGCTCTGTAATATTTAACTACAGGAATATCAGTGTATAGTGCAGAGGTGTCAGATCAAGTGTGTGCAGTGTAATAAAAAATAGTTAATATTGAAATAAAAATTATTATGGTAAAAGTCATATTGCATAATTTACCTTAAATTCTCTCTCCTCACACAATTATTCTTGGCAATGTGTCTTCTACTATATTAACTTTAAAATAATGTTAAAATATTCACTGTAGTTTTTTCATCACATTTTGAATGAAACTTTCTGTATTCTCTGAGTTTTTAAGACTTTTGTTTTCAGTTAAAAAAATTTTTACATTGTTGCTTTATGCACATCTCTAAAAAGCCCCCCTGCTATATATTTTTTTGCTATAAGAAAAAAATTAAATTTTATTTGTTTTATCTATGAGCTTTGGCATCACAATTTTTAAAGGCTCACTTAAATTCTTCTCCATCTAATTCACTTTTAAGATTTCTTAGCTGCATTTTACTTTGCTATACTTATCATATTTTCTTTTGTTTTTTAATTGAGTTTATTGGTGCATTTTAGGGATACAGTACAGTTACATTCATTATTGGGATCTTGTACCTTTACATGACAGGTCTTGGTTCTCATTTTTTTCCCCTTGTTTTGCTATTTTTTTAAATTCAAAGTCCTTTCCAGTTGTATACTGCTTAATGTTGAAGAGCTAACTGTGGGAGTGAAGAGAAGAGGCCTGGTTTGTGTGGTCTGCCAGTTGCTGCAATGTAAATAGTCCCACCATACCCAGTTTTAAGCACCATCTCAGCAACAGTGAACCTGGAGATGGAAAGATGCCCAGGATTGTTTTTTGCAGGCTGTGCAAGCTGGCACAGCAGGCGTGATCCCACTGCTTTTAGTACCAAGAAATTAGAAGGGGAGAGGGTGCCCAAGGGAGGCAGCAAAGAGAAGGGAAAACTAAGGAATGTAAAAAACAATAAAAACAGAAAAATTGGGGAGGGAATTTGAGGAAAAATGCTTGCTCTTTCCTGAAACTGCTGTAATGATGATAACTAAAAGTGGGACAAAAATCTTTACTAGATATAGGAATAAATGACCAAACTCCAAACATTAAACTTCTGAAAAATACTGCCAAATTTGTTGACATTTGTAGCAAACTAGCAAATCACAGTATCTCTCCTAGAGCATGAGCAGGAGGAGGTTTTCCAAGGTCAGGGTCAAGGTCCAAAATCCTTATTTATAACCGAGTTTGAAGGTGAAGTGGGTCCACAAACAAGCAGAACTTGTTCCTAGTTTGATGTTTTGTTTTATAAGTGAGGCAATAACCTCCATGTTTTCTTTTTCTTTTTTCCTATAGTTTAGGTTATATAGTGTTTTGTGCTTTTTGTAGCAAATTATTGCAAATGTGAACAATAATGCAACCCTTTATAGATGTTATTAGCTTTACTTAGTATCCGTTAACTTTAATATGAAAATATAACACATTCCATCTTCTCTAGTCTCTTAATTACATTACTTATTTTCATATTTGTAACATTTTCATTACATTCTGTATACCATAAATGTTAGGCTTCCCCTTCATATGTAAATAAGTTATGTTGCAAAAACCAGAACAAAAGAAAATATCAAACCAGGAAACATAATAAAATGAAATAACAGAATTAAGAGCCACTTGGTTATTAGAGAACATAATAGAGATGGGGTAAACTCATTTATTAGAAGGAAACTACATTGAATGACTCATCTGAAACAAAGTAATTACAGGCAAATGTAAACTAAAATTCAGCAGTGGTTGTAATTGTGAAAGATGAAGGAAGTACTTCCTTTAAACTTTGGGTCTTCTGTGGTCTGAACTTTTATCAATAAACTTGGGTTTCTTTAACAGTGAATCATTAGAATACCTTGGGCTGTATCCATTCATTCTAATAAGACAGAGCTATACCTTTGTTCTCTGTCGTGTTGATTATTTTTTCATTTGGTTTTTGTTTATTTTGCTTTTGCCATATGGAAACCCTTAGTAAATAGTAGCTGAAAAGACATCTCTTCGAGATATTATACCGTTATGATAATGACACGTGTCTTACATGTGCCCCAACCTTTGAGTGTGCATTTTTCTGTTAATTTTCATGTGTCTTTGTGAGGAAAGTGATTTCTATCTCTGCTTTACAGAGGAAGAAGCAGGATCCGGGAAATTAAGCTGCTGGTCCAACATCACACCGTCTTATGTCTTCTGAACCATTTTAAAAGTATTTCTTCAAGTGAATGTTGTATTCATGATCCTATGTATTGGACTCAATCTTTATGAAATGCAGATATTCTTCTAAAATTGTAGATATTTTATAACTGACTTACTAGAAAATACACTTATTAGAAAGTGCACTCAGCTTGGAAGGATTTCATTCTTTTATTTAAAAAAGACTTAAAATATTTTTTGGTTTTGGGGGTTGAACTTTGGGTCTTGCACATGCTCTGCCACTCAGCTATACCTCCAGCCTCTGAAAGACTTCAGTCCTTAAGGGAATGAAATCAGGTGGAGTACTTTGCTCTTGAGAAGGTGGCCAAACAGGGATGCAGTGTTGACTTTATTGTCTGAGTAGAGCAGCTGTGAACTACCAGTCTGTTCTGGTGGTTCCATAAAAGAAAAAAAAAACTCACATCTTCATATCAGTGAAAGCAATGGACTGTCAAGAGATTACTTAGGACATACAGGGACTTCTGGAGATGTCTGAGAACCATTGAACACTAAGCCTTGAGGTAAATGGAATGTGCAGGGTCAAGTTTTACATGTAGTTCCCTGGAGCTACCATGACTCAGTTTTTTCCTCTTGAGTCCACAGGTGTTAAAAGTGATCAACACAATCACTTATAGTTGAAGACAGTATTGTGCTTAGGTGTTGTTTCTAATGATTACCTCTGTCTTGGTGTTAGTACTTTGGATTGAATGTCCATTCTGAAAAATACATTGGCTTAGTGTTGGTCTCTGAGATCTGATGTTCAGTTTTTGTGGGAAAATGGTTACCACAGTACATTCACATGCCACCATGGCAACTGCAGAGATGCAAAACAGCATATCCAGCCCCTTGAGGGCGTGCACTGTGCTGCCTGTCATATCTTACATCGTAAAAAAGGGACTCATAGATCTCCACTGACTACCTGCATATTGTGCTTCCATTCCAGTAGCTTGCATTTGGAAAACCCAGAATTTACAAAATTGAGAAATTGACAAATTGAGCACACTGTGACTTCAGAGATATTAGTGCAAGTTGAGACAGATGGAGAGCCCAATAACTTAGTGAGTTTTCTGTCTTTGCAAACTTATCATAATGTCAGGTTGTTGAAATAAAAGTTAGCAAATGAAATCCAGAATTATTACTTTTTTCCAAATCAATCTCATGAAATAAGAGTTCCTTGTGAATGCCTCTCAAATAAACGTTCCATGATTAAATACAGTTCAGAAATGAAGCATAAAATATTTTTAAAAATAAGTTCATGATGAACATGAGCATATTAAAAATGCAGAGAAAACTTGCTCAATATTCTGTTTAAAATGTTAGTTTAGGTTCTAAAATTTGACTCTGAAGTTTTGTTTTGCAGAATATTTTAATTCTCTAGCACATATTGAGAAAGGATGAATTATTTTTTTATTATAATGCTAGCACCTGTGGATGCGTATATCTGGGGACTCGTGCATAAGTGTGTGTGTGTGTGTGTGTGTGTGTTAGCGTGTGAACTGGATGTAGAATTAAAATCCTCTTGAGATATATTTATAGAACAAGAGTCTCAACATTTTACTATTTATCCAGAGTAATCTCCAGACCTTCCTTTAAATATGAGTGCTTATTTGGTTTTTTTCTTTGTATCAGTGCTACTAGTAACTTATACGTTTAAAAAGAGAAAACTTTTAAGTTTTCCCTTCTTGGACTCTGAAGGAATTCTATAGGAGTAAAATAGAAGATTGGTGGCCAGATTGGAGAGGCTGAAGTAAAGATTGTGAACAGTTTAGAGGCAAGCTATTATATTTTCTGAATTGTTGGCAATCAGTTGTACTTTCCTTGAGGTGTTGATCTTGAATTTATTTATAGTCCTCAGTATAAAAAAGAAACAGATTTATTTTGAGGAACAATTTAGGAATAGCTCTTAAATTTTACTTTTTGTCTTATAGCCTTTGATTAGTGACACTATGTTCAGGGTCTCTTACTCGTTCCTGGGCAGTGTTACTAGGCTATACGCCTGTAAAAAGCCTTGGCTATGTTTGTTGTTCTGCTTAGAAGAGTTAGAGTCTCTCAGCCACTCTGTTGGGATATTTTGTTGTGGCTTTGGGCACTGTTTGCCAAGCTTCTCACTTGGTGGCAGAGGGGTGGGACTTTGCCTGAGAGCACCAGTGTTCAGTCACTAGCTGCCGAGCTTGTCCATCCCTAGCCTCTCACCCCCTCCTCCCTTTCTGGGAAGAGTGAGCTTGCCCAGAACTGTGATTGTCCCTGAAAGGGCTCCATTTGCCCCAGGTGTGCTGGCAGAAGCCTGTCACAGTCCGGTGAAATTTAAATCCTGCTCAGGTAAGAAAGCATATTAAAAATGACTTTGTGAGCAGAAGTTAAGATTTGCAAAAGGGAGCAGTTTTGATAAATTTGTGGGTTTTTTGTACAAGAGCTATCACAGTTATATTCCTGTGTTGCCTGAAGGTAAGTAGGTATAGTTATATACAGTGGGAGAAAAGAAAATACTTCTCTATCTTTAAATTGCATGAACCATCAACATTTTTATAAAGATTATTTTATTAATCATTGATTTTTCTTTGGATTTTCTAATAAGAGAAAATACTACCATAAATGTGTATTAAATGCTATCATTCTGTGGTAATTCTGGCATTAGTTCAATATAGATTTATTTTAATGTCTCTCATAAAATTTCCCTAAACTTACCTATGACTCAAATAGATTTTTCAGTTAGGCACTTATGAATAGGATTTGTTTGGTTGATAGATTTTCTGTGTATCATTTAGCACTTCTCATGTATTAAAACTTAAATACATGTTGGGGACATATGAAAAATCTGTATTTTTTGCTTAATTTTTCTCTGAGTACAAAGCTGCTCTAAGAAATACAGTCTATTAAAAAATTAAACAGTCTCTTCATGATGCATTCTGTGAAGATATCTGTAAAGCACAAATGATGTTAAAAATTTTTATCATACAGGAATTATTATAAAAAGCTGATTCAGTTTTGATTGTTTTTTTATAATTAATAATGAAAATACTGGGAAAATTTCAATAATTGTTTTGATTGTCACTTTTTTGTTCAGCTGTATTAAGACAGGCAAACAGTTACTATGTAAAAGTGTTTTTCCTAAATAAGAAGTGAGAATGAAAATATACTTTATATTTATTGACTTAGCAATGGATTTGTTCATTGACTTGGAAAGTTTATTAGCCATTATGAAAAATTCCTTCCAGAAATACAGAGTAGAAATTAATAACTTTGTGTATTTGCAATCGTATTTCTAAAAGCTGTTTTCATATAAATTAGACATATTCATGAACAAAGAAGTAATGCTAAAGTATGGAACTTGCAGATTTTACAGAACTGGATTCAAGTGATATTAAAAAAAGATTCATATTTGTGTACTTTGTTTTTTTAGTTAGGGATATATTGGCATTTTGAAAGCATGTATAATTATGAAAAAAAGCAAAACCTCAATTTTGTGTGAGCCATGATTAGCCATAGCTATTTGAGCATAAGACAGTCTTTATTATAATGACAGATGCAAACAGAACATGATCACTAAAAATATTTTAGATAGATTTATACATGAATAAAATGCAATATTCTGGGGCTATTTTTAAGGGTAAATGAAGAATTTTCACAACTGTTAAAGCTGAAACATGGATTGTAGCCTTTGTGAACTCCTTTGATAATTATCTGATGGAGAAAACATTTTGCACAATTTTTACACTAAAGAGCCATTACATGCACAGTGATCCACTCTCCATAGATACAACGAATATTTCCAAACATATTCAAGTATATGAAACATTCCAAAATTTTCAGAACAGATTCAGCTATGTTTCCCTTTCATGGATTTCTCCAGGGGCTTCAGGCTATGTTCTTTTTACTCAGGTGGAGTCCAGGACTGAAGAGGTGTAGTCAGGGCCAAGGTCCTTACAGAAGACACAGTGGATTGGCTTTGTGTCGCTTACCTAAGGACCTATGCCTGTCCTCTCTGTCCAAACACCAGGTTGCCATAGTAGAAGCCCTGTTGCTGATGCTCCATTTACAGGTGCTGTGCCTCACACTTCAGCATGATGCTCCCGTCTGCCTGACATAACAGGTATGGGGGCCTGAAGTGCTGCGTCTCTAACAATACCCGGGGGCAGCAGCTGCCAGCTCAGGGTCCACACCGACCGTGGAGGAGGCACACCATCACACATCAAATAACTGGACATTGTCTGCTTCAAACCAGGAACTCAGTTTGTGAGCGAATGACTGAAAATACGATTGAGGTGAACTGACTGGGGACGTGCAGCTGATGAGGTGCAACCTGCTGCTTTCTCAACGCGAGTGCCGTGGTGCACCTGCCATGTTTTCGCAGCCGTCTTGTCCAGGCTCATTATGTTTGGGGCTCTGCCTCATACTGTTAACACAGGCCCCGTTTGTCATCACTAAGGACTCGCCCACTCCTACTTCTCCCATCCTGTCCTCGAGGTGGGGAGCTTTTTATGTGTATCGGGTTTGATTTGTGCGATGCACCAAAGTCTTCTTTATGACATCGTCTACCCAACCTGTCTTGCAGGTGCCCCCGCTTCAACTCGCTGTGAATTTAAATATAGAAACTTTACCTGTGGGGAGCTCGGTCTTTCCTCTCACTTAACACACATTCACCAGTTTTGGGCAATTGACTTAAAAAACCTCTAAGTCTCAGCTTGTTAGATTTGTGGCTCAAGTTTTCTACTTAAATACTTTGCTATGTCCTAGATAGCTGTGGACTCTTGAAGTGGGTGCCAGTATGGTATTCCATACACTCCAGTAATTTCTTTCTCCTGTTTTCTACCTTGGCATTGTTGATGAAAATTTCAGACACACAACAATTTGAAGGAATTTTCCTGAGAACAGCTGTGCTTTCCCTTTGTAGGTTTCATCACTGATACTTGAATTTCTTTTATCACTTGCTTTTCCAACCACCTAACTTTTTTTCATCTATTACCATCTTATTTTTGATGCATTTAAAAACTGACTTCCAGCATTGGTTTGCATTCAGCATGTTTATTAGCTATACTTGTCTCTGTTGACAGCTTCAGTGTAAACTTTACCTGCACAGAAGTTGGGACTGTGGTGAACATGGGCAACTGTGAAAATCAGTCCCTGGCAAGATGCAGAACATTGCTAACACTGGGGGAAGTGCCTACATCCCCTTCCTGTCATCAGGTTCTGTGAATCTCTCCCTCCAAAAAATGACTCACTCATCACAATAAGTGACGTGGGACTAGTTTATTTCTTCAGGGTCCATGCTTTGATTGCTTTCATTTTATGGAATTTGTTTTCCTGCTTGAAAATACATATCATACAAATTCTTTATAACACATTAACATTTAATTTAGACTAATTTGTGGTGTTCTTATTTCTGATAATATTTAAAAATTAACAGTAGCCTCATTTCCGTTTTTCTTAAATATGGTACACATACCTGCCTGTCTTGATGGTTCTAATGACATTATCCTGGATGGTTGGTGAGGTAGTAATATGAATAGATATGTGGAGACCTGTAGTAACCATGTTCTCTTATGAGTTTTTTTGGATTGGCACTTGGTTTCTTTGGAAACAGAGAAAAATCACTCAGACTCAGCTTCCTGAAAATCTTCCTGAGAAGACTGTAGTAGAAGCTGCATTCACCACGTAGCTAGTCAACAAGAAATTGAGCCCCACTACTTTTTTCAGAAGCAGAAATCTGTGTTCCTGTGGCAATCTTAATTCATGCCACCCCATATTTGTGGGTGGTGTTTTCTGTGAATGTCACCTTCTGGTGCTTGGCAGTTTGATTTAGACCCATTCTGCTGTGGATTCACAAAAACCTTGAAAAACCTTGAGTGTCCAGAAAGCAACTTGCTAGAAATGCCAGGCTCCAAGAATGACTTGGGGTTACAAAGTTAGAATACCCCACAGTGTCTTTGGTCACAAAGAAACAGTGTTTGAATACTTAGCACTGTGTCTAGCCCAGGAAGGAAGTGGTCAAAACGGATGTTTTGCTATCATCGTAAAGTTGTCTGAGGGGTGTAAAGTGTTTGAATTAAGTTCTGCGAATGTGCCATAACACCCATTTTTAGGTTTACTCTGGTTCACAAATCACTTTAACTTACTTTAATGGAATATGAGTGCTATCTTCAGAAAACTTACACAACTCCTTTAAATGAAATTTACAGAGGCATATTCTGCTTTGCTAATGAATACTGACATAAACAATTTATTTCAGTGAGAAAAATCCATGGTAGATACAGATATTACATGTGAAGTTTTCAGAATCTTTTACAGTCTTCCTTTGGAATATTACAGAAAAATTTACAGTGACTTTCAAAGTCATTTCCTAGAAAGTTTATATTTTTTTGCCTGGGAACACAAGCAGATAACCCACTGGTTTTAAAAAGCAGAATATGAGGTTTGTAGAAAAAAACTGAACAAATATTCAACATATATCTTTTTTAAAAAACACTTTCCAGTCTCCCTTCTGTCTCTCTTAGACAGAAGCTTTTTTTCCCTCAATAAAATTTTCCTACTTTTTAAGAAAAAAATACTTTTAAACCAGTGACTCATTGTATTTCATTAGAGCTAATGTATACTTACCCACCTATAAATAAGAAAAAGAAATCCCTACGTGTATGATTATTCTACTTTTCCAAGCCACTTAATTTATGGTTGCTTTTCTCTGAAAGGAAAGGATAGAACAATTTTTACCAATACTTGCTGAAATTGGAACTGAAAAAATGATGCAGAGTACCATGTTTTAAGAAAAACAAATTTGGGAGATAAATCTGAGCTTTCTACTGCATTATAGCAGTATCTGAATCTTCTGCTCATTTAAATATTTCATTTGATGATAACATGGGGGTATATATCTGTATTTAGATATATACAATTGTATATTTTATCACACGAAGTACAATGCTATGGGAAATGGTGATTGTTTTCCTCCTCTCTTGATTTCTAGTCCCAATGAAATAGAGATTTTAATCAATCTTCTCCCATATATTATGAAGTGCTTACATTGGTGATAAAAATCGTCCTGTAACAAAAGGCTACCATTTATGCATGTTTCATCATATTTTCAGCTTCAACTGAAAATGTAAGATTCTAGGACTGGACAGAAGTCACCAAGACAGTTATCTGTTGAGTGTACATTTTTTTTCTGTGTACATCCTGCCTGTCCCTGTTGATTTCTCCAGGTACTGTGTTGGCTTATATACCTTTTGATATCATTCTCCACTGCAGATAATGACTGTTGGTTACTCTCTAATTGTTTTATGTATTGGCTTTGCCATGTCATCTCAGGGACATTGTAAAATCATCTC